TGGCTAGGAGAATATAAAGAGAATGGCATATACGTAATGATAGAGAACTCAGCAAGACACTGGCTTCTTTTAAGTCTCATCAACAAGTATGTATCAGGAATGCTTTCCTAATATTTGACATGCTAACTTCTGTCCCATCCAGAAAATAAAACCATAAATAAAAGGAATTTCTTTCTTTTCCTAAAATAGCTTAATAAGATTAGGAAAACATATTTATTGCCCTGGGTTTAGCTATAAGACCCAAGAAGTTTGCGATCTGTCTGATTAAGGAGACCTTATACATCAAGAAATATCAAATAATATCTGGAAACATGTAATGTTAGATTGAGGTATACAATGATATAGAAGATATTCAAAGGATGGAAAAGATCATAGGCTTGGATAAGCAGATAACTTCAAAGAGAAGTTATTTGAGCTGGACCTTCAAGAAGAGGCTTTTGAGAGGTAGAGAAAGGACTAATAGGCAAAGTTTTATAAAAGATGCAAGTCTTTTTAGAGTGTGGCTTTCCTTAAAGCTTTTAGTTAATGTGAGGATGCTGCTGGAAAAAAATTAAGTCTTGTTGAAATGAAATTAGGGGTTGATGGCAGTATGATATTTGGCAGGTAAATGAAAACATACATGATGAACAGAAGGCTGACTGCATTTCAGATGTGAAATTTCCTCTTATTGATGTGTAGAGTCAATGAAATCCCAATCAAAATTGTAGTATGCTTTATTTGGGTTTCGTTTTGTTTTGTTTTGGGGAGAAATTGATCAGGTGGTTCTAAAATTCATATGGAAATGCAAAGGACCTAGGATAACAATTCTGAGAAAGAAGGACAAAGTTAGAGGACTGACCTTATTTGATTTTTCATGACTTGTTATAAAGCTTCAGTAATCAGGACAGTATGACATTGGTATAGAAATATAGATAAATGTAATAGAAAAAAAAAGGAATAGATGAAAACGTATGGCAGTTAGTTGACATTCAATGAAAGTATAATGATAAAAGACTATACTTTTTCCAATTTCCATTGGAAAAAGTATAGTCTTTTCAACAAAGTGCTAGAACAATTAGATATCCATATGGAGAAATAAAAAATTGGATTACAAACCTTATTTCACACCATATATAAAGTTAATTCAAAATTAATTATAGATATCAACATAAAGCTAATAGTATAAAACCTCTGAAAGAATACAGTGGTGAAATCATTATAAAATCATGTTAAACAAAGATTTCTTAAACAGGACACAAAGTACGAACTATGAAAGAAAAAACTGAGAAGTTAAGCTTTATTAAATCTAAACTTTTGTTCTTTAAGAGAAATGGTTTAGAAATGAAAAGTAAAGCCGTAGATAAGGGGATAATATTTGCAAATATATACAAGAACTTGTATCCAGAATAGGAAGAATGCTAATAACAACAAGAAGAACAACCACTGAATTGTTAAAATGTGAACAGAAGATTCAACAGCCATTTCAACGTGGAAAACCTATGACTGGTCAATAGTATGTGAAAATATATTAAACATGAGAGCAATGAAAATTAAAACTTTAATGAGATACAACTGCACACCTAGTAGAATGGCTAAAGATATATAGACAATATAAAGTGCTGAGATGGATGTAGAGAAGTGAAACACTCCCTTATGGCTGGTGGGAATGCAAAATTTTACTGCCACTTAGGACAACAGTTTGGAAGTTTTTAAAAAGTTAAATATACACTTAACTTTTTGATCCAACAATTCCGCTTTAAGATGTTTTCCACTAGAAATGAAAACATATATCTACATAAAGTCTTGCATGTGAATGACAACTTTATTCATAATAGACAAAATCAAGAAACAACTTATATTAGTCCATACTCATGCTGCTATGAAGAAATACCCAAGGGTGGGTAATTGGTAAATAAAAGAGGTTTAATTGACTCTCATTTAGCATGGCTGGGGAGGCCTCAGGAAACTTACAATCGTGGCAGAAAGCATTTCTTCACAGGGCAGCAGGAGAGAGAATGAGTGCTGCACGAAAGAGGAAGCCCCTTATAAAACCACCAAATCTAGTGGGAACTCTCTCACTGTCACAAGAACAGCATGGGGGAAACCAGCTCCATGATTCAATTACCTCCCATTGGAATCCCTCCCACAACATGTGGGGATTATGAGATTACAAATCAAGATGAGATTTGGGTGCGGACACAAAGCCAAACTTTATCACAACTCAAATTTCCACTTTGTGCTTTTCCCTCATGTCTTCTAAATGAGACTTGCAGGAGGTACAACTTTAGAAATCTGTAATTTTCAAAATTGCTTCGTTTTACTCTGTTGCAATTAGACAGTTTGGGAACCAGTGCCCTAGATGATCTTATCCAGTAAGGTAGGGTCACTGCTAATTCATAGAGTACTTTTTTGCAAATTTGGAAAAACATACCTTTTTCTGGAAAGATGTCATCTTATTAGTGTATGACCTGGCAGCTAGCGTGAGGACTAAATTTCAACTTTCTTTATATTCCCTCATGTGGGAGTTTTAGTTCATTGTTTCATGGGTGGTATTATTCATTAGATATCCATATGGAGAAATAAAAAATTGGACCACAAACCCTTTTTCACACCATCCTCCTCATGACTCCCAACCTCATTTGACTCCCAGCCTCATCATGAATAAGCTTAATCTGGCAGAGTATTTAAACCAGGTGAGTCTGGAGTTAGCTAAAAGACTTTGTTTTTTTGTTTTCCTCTAAAGCAAATTTTCAATATTACTAGCACATTGCTATCAAAGGCCTTACTACTTAGAGCTAGAGGTAAAGTAGAAAGAAAATAGGAGAAAGAAAGTAGAAAGAAAAGTAGAATAAAATAGGAGAGGTGGCTAAGTAGCTCTAAGTGAACCCACTTTCTAGAAAGAAAAGAAGGAATGAAAGTAGAAGTAGATGGTTGTAGCACCATTTATTTTTCCATTGTAGAGGAGTGGAAAGTAAGCTAGACAGAACTAGAGAAGACCATGCTTTTCTAAACTTCTGGGAGGAATGATTAACAAATGGAAAAAGTGATTCTGGACATGCTCTGTGGGAGAACAGAGTAACCACATGGATCAAGTGGGAGAAGGCATATATGCACTTTTCTGGAATTTTTAATCCACTGTAATATTAATCCTTTAATTAATTTTCAATCAATTATAATTGCTTATTTCATTTTATTTTTTTTGTCATAGTCTGTTGCCCAGGCTGGAGTGCAGTGGCTTAATATCGGCTCACTGCAGCCTCTGTCTCCTGGGTTCAAGTGATTCTTTTGCCTGAGCCTCCCAAGTAGATTGCCAACACATTATAATTCCAGAAAATTTCCAGGTGGATAACTACCTAAATATGGAAATTTAGAATGTTAATACATTTTGAAGAAAATATAGGCACAATGCAGTGGCTTACAACTGTCATCCTAGCACTTTGCGGGCCCAACATAGGAGGATCGCTTGAGATGAGGAGTTTGAGACCAGCTTGGGCAACATGGTGAGACCCTATTCCCTGCCTTTCCCCCAAAAGGAAGAAGATATAGAATCTTTTGATAACCTTTGGGCAGAAAAGTACTTCTTAAGCAAAACACACACAAAAAACCTACTTACAAATGTGGATATACTTTAAAAATTATTTTCCTCTAAACGACCATATTTCAAAGAAATGTAAAAAGACAAGCTACAGATAGGGTGCAAGTATTTGCAATATGTTTAAGGAAGTATTAATATGCAAGATATATAAAGACATTTCATGTAAGTTAATAAGAAAAGTCACTCAACCCGACAACACCAGCAGTAACAAATGGGTAAAATAAATGATTTGACAATTTGTGGAAATAGGCAGGTGACTTATAAACATACAAAAAAGTATTTGCCCACATTAGTAATCAGGGAAATGCAATTAAAATCACATTGTGATATCTTTTTGCACCTATATGATTGGCAGCACTTAAAGGATCTGAGCATACCAAGTATTCTGTAGGGTGTGCAGATTTGTTAATGTCTAATAAAGTTGAAAATGCTTATATTCAATTTTGTGGACATCTAGGTTGATTCCATATCTTTGCTGTTGTGAATAGTGCTGCAGTGAACATGCATGTATCTTTTTGGTAGAAAGATTTGTTTTCTTTTGAAATATGCCCAGTAATGGGATTACTGGATCACATGGTAGTTCTGGCATGTATCTTTTTGGTAGAAAGATTTGTTTTCTTTTGAAATATGCCCAGTAATGGGATTACTGGATCACATGTTTTAAGTTATATGAGAAATCTTTGAACTGCTTTCCACAGTGGCTGAACTAATTTATATTCCTACCAATAGTGTATAAACATGCCCTTTTCTCCACATTCTCCCCAGCATCTTTACTTAGTAATAGCCATTCTGACTGGTGTGAGATGGTAACTCACTACAGTTTTGATTTGCATTTCTCTGATGATTACTGTAGTGGAGCATTTTTTTAATGTTTGTTCGTCATTTGTGTCTTCTTTTGAGAAATGTCTGTTCATGTCTTTTGCCCAATTTTTAATGGAAATAGTCTTTTTAAAACCTTAAGTGTTTGATTAAGGTCTGGAGCTTCTATAGTCATCCCTGGGAATCCACAGGGGATTCTTTGTAAGACCTCAGTGGATACCAAAATTTGCGGATGCTCAAGTCTCTTACAGTATGGTATAGAAATAATATTTGCATATAACTTGTGTACATCCTTTCAAATAATTTAAATATTCTGTAGATTACTTATTATATGTAGTACAATGTAAATGGTGTATAGTTATTTTAATTTGTACTTTTTATTGTATTACTATTTTTAAAAAATTTTTCCAAATATTTTATATCCACAATTTGTCAAATCCACAGATGTGGAACCCACTGATACAGAGAGCAGGGCTGACCATAGGTAAAAGATTTTGGATCAAAATGGTATCTTAAAAATCACATATTTTGTCAACTCATTTGTTGGAAATGATGTTGCATTATTACATAAATTAATTGTGGGTATTTTTTTTTCCTCTTTCCAAAGAATACAAGTCAATGACCAGATTGTAGAAGTGGATGGAATCAGCTTGGTGGGTGTAACACAGAATTTTGCAGCAACGGTTCTCAGAAACACGAAGGGCAATGTCAGGTAAATATGTGCCTTCTAATATATACCATGTTGTTACTTTAGTGAATTTTAATTTTCTATAGTTTAACCTGCAAATAAATATAATTACAATGACAATTTTATCTGAATGGTAAAACTTTGCATTTAGTTTTAAATTTTTTTTACCTGTATTATAATTAGTTTATGAAAATGGAATTTAAATCATTTAAATGGAAAATGGAATTTAAAGTACTTGTCTTCGTACCTTTCTAAAATACTATGATTTCCAGGAAGGTAGAATTTCTAGCTTTAATTTCAATAAATATGAATTTGGTCTCAAATCCTTTTAAGAAAAATAGTTATACAATATTTGAAATGATTATACATATATTCAATGATGTATGTTTTTTAGACAATCACACTGAATAAGGATAAGTATATTTTTAAATGTATGTATTATTTTAAGGAATCAGTGAGGACCAATGTTTGCTGTTTTATAACTTTTCCAACTTAATGGACTTAGGGTGTATTTTTTTGGGGGGACCTTGAAATTTATATTCAGCCTTGGCATTGTGAATATTGTATATTGGAAAACAAGAAAGAAAGCAATTTGGAGCTAGTGGAAGTCAGGGTTTGAAATCAGGTATTTTTTGCTTACATGTTACTTATTTATCTTAAGTATTGCTTATATCATATACTTTTCCATACATCTTGTTTAAGAAACATTAAGGAAACATTATTTAGTATGTGTAATGATGAAAGTGGTTGAGTGTCCTATTATCAAAATGAAACTGCTAAATATTCTGAAAATATTAATGAGTTGACATTGCTATATAGACAACAATATTAGGATATTATTGCTGCATGTTTTATTTTGCCAAAGCATGAATTTAAGTTTTAGACTTTAGACTTTTTCAATTATAAATTATCTTCTAATGCTAAAGGGATGCTTTAAGGAATACAACCTAAACTACTTCTGTGGGCGCTATGTTGATGTTTCTAGAATATTCACAGCCTTGAGAAAAGTATATAAAATAATTGCAAAACTGTGTGGTGCTCTCTGAGTTGTGTGGGTGGGCCCATTCAGTACATGTGATTGTCTTTTTGAAGATCACAGTGTGTTCTTAAGACAGCACTTTCCCGTGTCAATATAGAACTTGGTTTTGAAGCTGTCCATAGACTTTAAATTTAAAAATGAAATAGGTAAGATGTACATTCAACTCATAAGAACATTTCTCAGTTGGAAAATAATTTGTTGTTACATGAAACCATAGTCATCCTTTTTTTTTCCCTCTGACTGTTGACTGCATAATCTTGTGTTATATTCAGCCTTGTACAAATTTCAAATGTCTTCAAATGTCTTCTTAACTGCTCCGTCTGATTTCACATTTTCCCTTCCTCAGTCTGTTCTGTTCATCACTACTCTCATGGAAGGACATAATTACAGTTTTCAAATATATGAAGGACTATAATGGAAAAAGAAATTGATATTATTCTGTTTAACTCTAGTACAAGTTGGGTATCCCTTATGTGAAATGCCTGGAGCCAGAGTATTTCCGATTTTGGATTTTTTTTTTTTCATGTTGGAATATTTGCGTTATATACTTAGTAGCTGAGAATCCCTAATGTGAGAATTTGAAATCTTAAATACTCCAGTGAGTAATTCTTTTGAGTGTCATGTCAATGCTCAAAAAGTTTTGAGTGTTCTGAACATTTTGGATTTCATATATTTTCATTTGGTATGCTCAACCTGTATAAACTTGCATGTGCAGGTGTTTTTTGTTTGTTTGTTTGTTTGTTTGAGACAGAGTCTTGCTCTGTCGCCCAGTCTGGAATGCAGTGGCACAATCTCGGCTCACTGCAATCTCTGCCTCCTGGGTTCAAGCAATTCTCCTGACTCAGCCTCCCAAGTAGCTGAGATTACAGGCATGCACTGCTACGCCCAGTTAATTTTTTTATTTTTAGTAGAGACGGGTTTTGCCATGTTGACCAAGCTGGTCTTGAACTCCTGACCTCAAGTGATTCACTTACTGCGGCCTCCCAAAGTGCTAAGATTACAGGTGTGAGCCACTGCACCCGGCCTCATGTGCAGGTTTTCGTATGGACATAAGTTTCTACTCCATTGGGTAAATACCAAGCATGGTGCACAATTGCTGTATCATGTGGTAAGTATATGTTTAGTTTTGTAAGAAACCACCAACCCGTCTTCAAAGTGGCTGTACCATTTTGTATTCCCATCAGCAGTGAGTGAGAGTTCTTATTGCTCCGCATTCTTGCCAGAATTTGTTGTCAGTGTTTTGAATTTTGACTATTCAAATAGATGTATAGTGGAATCTGATTGCTTTAATTTCCATTTACCCTTATTGTCTATTAATATTTACAATTAGTAATGAAAAGTTTCGTGTTGTTATGTTTGTAGTCCTTTATAGTATTTTCTTTTTTACTCTCTCTTTTGGATTTTTTTTCTCTCATAATTGAGTTTTTGTAATTTTTATCAGGTTGTAACTAGATCTGTGTTTGCTTATTTGATTTTTGTAATTCTGCTTAGGATTCAATCCGAAGACTTGGGTCTTCAGATTTTCTATTATGCTTTGGTTATTTGCTTAATTTCTTCTGGATTGTCTTTGGCCTCTCTTCTTAAACCAGTATTAAATGGGGCTTAGCTTTTCTGGGCATATCCTCTAGAATCTTTTTTTCTCTCAGGATCTCCATCTGTTTGAATTTTTGCTAGTATGTACTAAGAGTTTCTTCAGTTTTCTCTTCCAGATTATCATTTTTTTTTTTCAGGCATGACCTATTTTAACTGTTCATGCTTTATTCTCCATTTTCTGTTTTTATCTCTAGCTCCATTCTCTCTGCCCAGAGCTTAAGAATAGTATATCCAGCTTCCTACTTGACATCTTCATATGGCATTCTAAAAGGCACATCAAATTTAATATACTCCAAGTATTATCCTTTAATATACTTCAAGTATTATTTGTGCCATTCCTTGTCTTCTACCCCATATTCCTGCCTCACCCCTTCCCCCAAAAAAACCTCTGTATCACGTGACATATAATTGGCTGGTTCCACCTTATCAAGTCTCAGTTCAAATATCACTTCTTCAGTGAATGAGCTTTTCTTATATTTATGTTGTCCAAACTCCAGTTCACTTTATCTGAATTACCATGTTTTCTACATAGCATTCATTTACTAATCCTCTTCTGATCCTTTCCTCCTGGTTATTGATTCTTTTTTGGGTTTCCCACACTGTTGATTCCTGTCTAGTACTAGTATGCTGATATGAATATGAAAGTAATGATCTGTGACTTTTGAGGCTAGGTTATGAAAGGCACTGTAGCTTTCACCCTGCTCTTTTGGATCACCAATTCTAGGGAAATATAGCTGCCATATCAAGAATGCTTTCAAATTCCCTTTTGAAGATGCCCACACAGGGAGGATGTTTGGCCTGCCAGCAACCAGCACTAACTTAACCAGCCATGTGGGGAGGCACCTTTGAAGATCTTCCAGCCTTAATAAAGCATTCAGATGCCTGATTGAATTTTGTGAGAATCACCAAGCCACAATTGAACAGACAAGCCTTCCTTGAATTCTTGACTCACAGAAACTGTGAAAGATAATAAATGTTTATAAGTTTTGGGGTAATTTGTATCAGTAGGCACAACTTATACATATTTTGGTACCTGAATCTGGGCTGCAGTTTAACGAAAAACTGAAAATGTGGGAGTAGCTTTGGGACTGGACTGTTAGTGAGGCTGCAAGGGCTGTGAGGAGAATATTAGTAAAAGCCAAAAAGACCTTATAATAATTTTTGGGAGAAAATAAATTTTGGGAGAAATCTTAGAAGGCAGCTGGTGAGGGCTTAAAGAAGAAAACTGTAAATGTTATTGAAAATTGGGCTGGGCACAGTGGTTCATGCCTGGAATCCCAGTACTTTGGGAAGATGAGGCAGGTGGATCACCTGAGGTCAGGAGTTCAAGACCAGCCTGACCAACATGGTGAGACCCCATCTCTGCTAACAACACAAAATTAGCCTGGTATGGTGGCAGATGCCTGTAATCCCAGCTACTTGGGAGGCTGAGGCAGGAGAATCACTTGAACTTGGGAGGCAGAGGTTACAGTGAGCCAAGATTATGCCATTGCACTCCAGCCTGGGCAACAAGAGNAAAAAAAAAAAAAAAAAAAAAAAATTGGAAGAAAGAGGATCTTCATTATGTAATAACAGAAAGTTTAACAAAACTTACCTCTAGTAATGTGAGAAGTAAAATAGAGACTGGGGTATTTAACTCATAAGATTTCAAGCCATAGTGTTGAAAGTATCACTAGCTCCTTCTTGCTGTATATAAATAAAATTTATGAGAAGATAGATAAGCTAAAGGAAGAACTGTTAAAAATAAAGCAAGTTAAACAAACTAGAAAACTTCAAGAAAATGGATAAATTTCTCAGCACATATATATGGCCTACCAAGATTGAATCAGGAAGACATAGAAAGCTGTAACAGACCAATAATAAGTGATGAGATTGAATCAGTAATAAAAAGTTTCCCAACAAAGAAAAGTCCAGGACCAGATGGCTTAAATGCCAAATTCTAGCAAGCAAGAACTAACACCAATTCTCCTCAAACTATTCTAAAAAACTGAAGCAGAGTGACTTCTATGCAGCTCTAAAAAAGGATGAGTTCATGACATTTGCAGGGACATATATGAAGCTGGAAACCATTATTCTCAGCAAACTAACACGAACAGAAAACCAAACACTGCATGTTCTCACTCATAAGTGGGAGTTGAACAATGAGAACACATGGACACAGGGAGGAGAACATCACACACCGGGGCCTGTAGAGGTGTGGAGGGCTAGGAGAGGATAGCATTAGGGGAAATACCTAATGTAGATGACGGGTTGATGGGTGCGGCAAACCACCGTGGTATATGTATAGCTGTGTAACAAATCTTCACATGTACCCCAGAGCTTAAAGTCTAACATAAATAAATAAATAAATACTAATTAAGAGACTGTGTGTGTGTGTGTGTGTGTGTGTGTG